AGGGGCAGGGGCAGGGCCAAGCCGCCAAGTGCCCCGACGGCGCTGGAGCCCATGCGCGGCAGTCTCGAGGAGGCACGGGCTGCAGCGCGAGCGCGCGCGAAGTGCCTCCCGCGCAAGGGCGGCCCCGAAGGATGCCGAGCCCGCGTGGGCGAGTGGTTTGAGCGCAAGAGGTGTCTAATGGCGATAACCGCCGAAGACCTCGAGCTCCCTCGCGAGCTCTAGACACCGACCCCCGCCGAACACCAAGAGCCGCAAGAGCGAGGAATCGTCATCTTTACCACGATCAGCATTATCAGCGCCATCAGCAACGTCCGCATCATCGCCATTGCAGTGGGATTCCTATGGATTCCCTAAGACAGCCAATCGATTTCTCACGGAGTCTCATCGGTGCCCCCAGGATGTTCATGGATAGCCTAAGGAATCTCATTCTCCAAATAGGCTTGCTCAGTCGGGGTTCTAACCCAATGCCAACTGATTCTGCCGCCCCCCGCCCATCCCCTCCCAATTCCTGCCCCCCCAAAAAAAAAAACGATGGCTATGCCTGTGCCTATGCCACCCCCAACTCCTATGCCCACGCCTCTGCCTATCCCTATGCCTATGCCTATGCGCCACCTCTGAGCGCCCCCATGCCTATGTCTATGCCTATGCACCACTAAATAGGCATGTTCTATATGGGTTCCTAGTTCATTCTAAGTAATTTGTCTTTAGAACACCCTTCCTTTATCCAATGGCACCCCCCTTTTGAGGCCCCCCCACCTCCCTTCCAATGGCACTTGCCTGCGTGCTCTTGCGTGCTTGCTCTCGCGCGTTTGCTCTTGCTTGCCTTTGCGGGATTGCGCTTGGTCGCTGGCTCTTGCTTGCTTGTTAGCGCTCGCTTGCGATTGCTTCCTTCCGCTTGCTGGCGCTTGCTTGATTGTGCTCCTCCTGTCCTCCTCCCGCCAAGCTCCCGTCCTCAGTGCGTCTTCCTCCCACCCCACTCTCGTCCTCCCCCTTTACCTCTTATCTACTTGGCGTCACCGCTGGCTGATATTGATTGCCATTCCGTTCCTGCTGATAACCATAGAAATCATACGGATTTTGAGAGGAGTCCAATAGATGTCCTTCGGACTCCCACGGGTAGCACAAGGAATCCTGTTCATGTCAATTGGATTATTATAGACTTCCCGGCGGCATCCAAATTATTTTCCCCAAAACGGCTTGCTAATTGGTCCGTTGCCCCCCTTTTATTCCGATGCCCCCCTAATTCCGATGGCTATGCATATGCCTATGCCTGCGCCTCCCCTAACTCCTGTGCCTATGCCTATGCCTATGTCATGCCTATGCTAATGCACAACCAAATAGGCTTGCCCTAAAGGAGTCCTAGCTCATTCTAAGTCATTGGTCTTTAGACCCCCCCTTTTCCAATGGCCCCCTCCCCCCTTTTTGCCAATGGCGCCCCCCTTTTTCCAATGGCATCTGCTTGCTTGCTCGTGCGTGCTTGCTCTCGCTTGCTTGCTTTTGCTTGCCCTTGCTTGCTTGCACTTGATCGCTCGCTGTTGCTTGCTTGCTATTGCTCGCATGTGCTTGCTTGCTTCCGCGTGTTTGTTTGCGTTTGCTTGTTTTTGCTCTTCATGTTTCCCTCCCGCCCTGCTCCCGTCCACCTTCGTCCTCCTTCCATCCTCCTGTCGTCCTCCTCCTTTCCCCTAATTTATTGCGAAGGCCTTACGGCCGATGCCGCCGACCCTGAAGGGGGACGATGAACGACGACGACGATGACGACGACGACGACGACGACGACGACGACGACGACGACGGCGACGGCGACGACGATCGCGAGTCCTTGTTGGAGCCTTCCCAAGCCCTCTGGCTGTCCTGGGGGGCCTTTGGGCCGTCTTGGGACCTTCCCGGGCCTTCCTGGCGTGTACTTGGGCCGTTCTGGGGAGCTCTCGGAGGCAACTGGGGCCGACCTGGAGTGTATGAAGCCTGGAAGTCGAGCAGGCGAAAAAACATTGGCGATTTCGGGACCTCCTGGTAACCTCTGGGAGTGGGGAGCTCGAAATGTGGGTTGGTTTTCCCACTCTTCGGCCTCTCTTGGGGTGTTCCTGGGGCTCTGTTGGGCGTTCTCGGTCGGAGAAGGGGGAGGGGTGGGGGGTCACGATTCGCAGGGCGCTTCCAGAGACCCCGCGGGATCTTCTCCTCCCTCTCACCCTCCCCCGGGACCTCCCCTCTCTCGTGGGGAAGGGATTACAGGAACGGGGTCCCCTTCGAGACGATTACGCTGTTGTTCGATTCTCCTCTGGCTGGAGCGTTTGAGGAGTTGGGCCGAGGGAAGAGGGGGGGGTTCTAAGAAGCTCATGCAGGTTTCAGGGTGGTGCGGGGGAAAAAACGACGAAGAGCGAGGGGGAAACAGAGAAGGAGGAGGATGAGGAGGGGGAGGCAGAGGATCGAGGATCGGTTCTCGAGTCGATGTTTCATTTTTCATGTTTTTTTTGGGGGGGGGGCTGTCTGGAAGCCTCCGAGGATTTCTGGGGACGTCCTGGAGGCGTCTTGGGCCGTCTTGGGGCCCTCTTGGGCCGTTAGGGGACGCTTTTGGGCGCCTCTTGGGGTGTCTCGGGGCGATATTGGGGGCCTCCTGGGCCGTCTTGGCGCGTTGGCAAATGTCAGAGGCAAGAGCGCTAGTATCCTGCAAAAGCGTATGGAAAATCTACGATTTTTGCCTCTTGGGGCTCTCGTGGGATAGCTCCTGGATGCCTCTTGGGGCGTCTTGCAGGCCTCTTGGGCCGTCTGGAAGCCGTGAAGGCGTCTTGGACAGATCGTCAGGCGAGTCGGGGTTCTCGTGGACTGTCTGTGGGGCATATTAGACCACACTTGGCTGGTTTTGGAATTCTTTTGAGCTCCGGGAATCCCCGGGAGAGCGTCCGTCGTATCTGACCCCCCGTCCCCGGGACCCCCCCCCTGGGACCCCACCCCAGGACCCCCCTCTTCTACCCCGCCCCCCCCGGCGGGGGAGGGATCGAAGGGAAGGGGCTTCCCTTCGACTCCATCACGGCGTTCCTCAACGCCTGGGAAAGAAGGGGAAGAGGGCGACAGCCACGACGACAAACGAATGACGGGCTGAGGCGGTCCCTGTGAAAGGGGGGGAAGATGACGACAGAGACGACGACAAACGAATGACGGAGATGACGACTCGAACGGACGAAGCCCCTCACACACGCCAACAGGGTCGACGGATTTGGAAAACGCTGGCTGGTATCTTAACGAATCCAATTGACTCCCATAGGTACGCTAAGAAACCCGATGGATGTTCATTGGGTTCCTATGGGTTTCCTAAGGCACCCCATGGATCCCCAAAGGAATCCGACACATGCCGTAGGATTCCTATGGCTGTCCTTAGGCACCCGATGGAATGCCATAGGAACCGGATCGATTCCCGAAAGAATCCTATGATTTTCTTAAAGACTCGCATGTCTTTTCCCAGGAATCGCATGGATATCTTAAAGAATTTTGAGAATGCCCGAAGGAATCCTATCGACTTCCGGATGCAAGTCCTATGGATGCCTTAAAGTGTCTTAAGAACGTTCAGGATCATGTTGATTATCATCATCGTCATCATCTTCATCATTATGCTGGGATCTTCGAGAACAGGTTTATTATTCCTCCTGGACCGCGAACTTTATTAACCCCAGGGGGTTCTGTCTGCAGGGATGGGTTATTCGTGGATCAGGAAGAGGGTGAGGGAGAGAAGTAGGAGGAGGAGGAGGAGGAGGCGGAGAAGGAGGCGGAGAAGAAGGAGAAGACGGAGGCGGGGTGCGTCAATAGGATCGGGAGAATGACGATCAGTATGAGGTGCAGGAAGTGAGTGATGAGGAGGAGACGGGGATGATGGGGTTGAGGACGAGAAAGCCTCTCTTCGTATGTCGGAGCAGTATCTAGGCTTCACTTTCTCTGATGTCGGCAGGTCTGAAGGCCACGGGTTCTCGAGACCGCCATGGCACTCGCGACTGGTTCTTGGGAAGCACGGTCTCGGGGACCTGGGGGTCGAATCTCTCAGAGCCTCCCCGTCTTCCTCCCCCGTGTTTGCGTAGGATGCAAGGCCCGTCGCGTCCACAGACGAGTAGAGAAAACGAAGCATGCACACAGTATCCTCTTCGACGTCTCGGTCCCGTCCTCGGGACAGATTTTTCGACACGGGTCACGAAAAAAAGGTTCCCGCAAGGATTCTTGCATGTTGCCTGGGGGCCTGGAGGTGATCTCGGTCCTACTTCTCTGCCCCTTCCAACCCCCACATTTAACCCCCACTGCTTGCTCGTCGTCGGTCTCTGCGTTCCATGCCCTCGGCGATGCACAGGCTGCTCGGAGAACGATTGGCCTTGGCAACCAGAGACTCCGTGCTCACGGCTGTTTGTCCAGGGAGCGAGGAGGAGACGGGGACGTTCAGATTTTTGAATAAGAAAATCTGGCCGTTGAAAGGATGACAGTGTTCAAGGAACGCGACTCTGGCCACTGTAAGGATGAAAGTATGCCGGCTTTCACAAGCGGTCTTCCAGGGATCTCCGAGACCACCGATTGCAGCTTGCGTCCTGCTCCCCTGCTTATCCAGGCTTGCTGTTCGGGATTTGTGACTGCAGACCGGCGCGAGGAGGGAGAAGGGGGAGAATGAAGAGGATGAGGATGAGGATGAGGATGAGGATGAGGATGAGGATGAGGATGATGATGATGATGATGATGATGATGCTGATGCTGATGCTGATGCTGATGCTGATGCTGATGCTGATGCTGATGCTGATGCTGATGCTGATGCTGCTGCTGCTGCTGATGATGATGATGATGATGATGCTGATGATGATGATGATGATGATGATGATGATGATGATGATGATGATGATGATATGATGATGAGTTGATGATGATGAGTTGATGATGGTGATGAGACTTGTCCTGCGAACGTGTAGCTGGTGCAGCACAGAGTCCGTTCTATTTCGCTCAAGCCTTTTACCTCCAGGGAGCACCTGTGTTCTTCTATGCGGATCAGCGCTCCCACCAGAATTCCCGTGTGGGCCCTCCTTGGTGCTCTCTGTGCCCTGGACGCCTGGTGGCCTGGGCTTGTGCGCAGCGGCGGCGGCGGGGGCCCCCCTGGACAGCCGTCCTCCGCGCAGGCGGCTGAGGCGGCGGCGCGCGAGGCGGAGCGGGCGCTGGCCTACGCTCGCAACCTCTCAGGCGGCCTGGCGGACCTCGCTCGGCTCTACGGGGAGGTGGAGACGCTTGCTGGCCGCGTGCGGCAGCTGCAGGACGAACAGGTCCGCCACAGCGAGGACGCGGGCTCGTTCTACGTGCACACCATCGGCTTACTGCTCACGGGCGTGCTGACGCAAGTGGTGACGGCCGTCACCCACTGGCGTTCACGCGATGGCGCTGCTGCCGCGACTGCTTCTGTACAGGGCCGAGGGGAGCGCCGCCGAGGCGGCTGAGTTCTTCAATGAGTTGCTGCCAGGCCGCGTCGTCACCGTGCACTATGGTGACGACCGCGGCATCTGGCACGAGCGGGTCCTGGTCTGGCTTGCCGATTCTGCTCGCCCGTCCGCTCGTTGGACGAGCTTGACGCCAGACGGTGACGTCTACGAGGAGGAGCTCGCCAGCGGGGCCGACGGCGATGGCCCTGACATGGCGTCGCTGACGTTCGGCGCCGCACCAGCTCGCCAGCGGCCCGCGGGGCGGGTGTACCGCTTCCGTGCCTATCAAGCGGAGGCGGAGCTGCTGCAGCTGGTGCGCACTGCCAGGCGCGCCGCCAGGGATGCAGATCTAGCCGTCTCGGAGCCACCGTACTACATGCGGGGCGCCGAGGTGCTGGGCGGCGGGACGACGGTCAGCTTCGGGGACGTTTCTGGCTTCTACCGCCGCATGGTACGGAAGGCCCCGCTGGCGGCGGCAGCCGTTGGCGGGGGCGGAGGCGCCAGTGGTGCTGCTGGGCCGGCCCCCCCCCCTTCCAGGCGACCGACCGCCTGTGGACGACGGTGACGATGGGCTAGAGGACGGCGGCGCGGTCGGCGGCACTGCTACTCCTCCGCCTGGGCTCGGTGCTCGCGTGCTGACGGCCAGCGAGGCACCACCGCCGGGCATGAGTTGGATTGCGGCGAAGACGGTGACAGGCGAGATCCAGAAGGGTGACGAGATCACACCAGGTGTCGGAGATGTGCTGTGGGGCGAGAGTGGGTTTCACGGCCTCTCGTCGGGCTTCATCGTGCCCATGGAGTTGGTCCCGACCTCCTCTATCACGCGTGCCACGGGCGATGGCGATGATGACGCCCGCCTGCTGGGTGCTCTGACGCGCGCGCGGGAGGGTCGGCGGCGCCGAGACTTCCGCGAGTCGGTGAGCCAGATGCGCCAGGAGGTCTTAGACGACTTCCCACCGTCGGGCGAGCGCAGCTACAAGTGGCTGTGTGAGCATATCGCGGAGCATGGTGGCACCCCCGACGGCCGCCAGCCGAAGTGGATGACCGAGAGCAGCTGCGCGAAAGACTCGGCGGCCGTCCACTTCCACGACCTCCTGGGGCTCTACATTGAGCTCGCGCAGACGTATGACCAGGTCGACGGCTCGAACCTGGCCTGCATGGAGGTAGTGGCGCGCACCTACCAGCTGGCGGAGGAGACGATGGGCAGCATGAAGGTAGAGGGGGTCGAGCACAACATCGGCCGCTCGAACCAGAGTGCCCGCCGCGGCGTGGCAGTCGCCCCAGGCCTCGCCAAGTGCGCGACCGAGCAGCTCGCGAAGGAGACCGAGATCCAGAAGCAGCGGAGGAAGGCGCGCGAAGAGAAGAGCGCCTCCTCGGGCAAGAGGGGACAGGGATAAACCGGGGTCGGCGGTCGGGAGGTCGCTCGACCCGACCGCCGTTTCTAGCGAGCCAGTTTTGTCGGGCTGATGATGGCCCACCTCTCGGCGATGGGACGCTGCCCTTCGCGGTGCCTGCTGCGCCAGTTCCCCCCCGACCTCCGCCTGGACTATCCCGTTCGGTTCGGGCGCGCATGCAACGTACTCAGTCCATAGAGGGGCGTGCTCGGGACACCGTGGAGCGCCTCAACCTGCCTGGGGGCTGCACCACGCCGCAGCGCACGCCAGAGCGCCTCTCGGATCTGGACAACCTGCTTATTCGACGCGTCCGCGGTCTCTACCGTCAGATGGAGGCGCCCGCTGGCGCGTCGGCCCAGGAGGCCTGCTCAGAGCTTTTGGGCCGCCCGTGTCTACACTACGACACGTCCAACGACCTACCGCTGAGGTGATATGCGCCACGCCTCGTGAGCTGGCCCAACTTGGAGAACGAGCCTGGCTGGCTCGCTGACCGCCTCGGGCCTCGCGATCGCTGCTCATTCCCTGACCTCGACCACGCTTTGCTGCTGCCGCCCCAGAGCTTTTGACGCAGTCGTGGAGGGGGGCGGGGGGCCTGCGCTGCATATGGATCCTGCGCTGGAGAGGGGCCGCACGCTGTGCATGGAGTTTGTGAAGTCGGAGATCTCCAGAGTCGTCTTTGCGCCTGGTAAGACTCGGGTCGAGGGCCTGGGGGTGTTCTTCGTCGCCAAGAAGGACTCCCGCATCAGATTGGTTTTGGGCTGCAGGAGGAGCAACCAACGGTCTCAGCCTTCTCCGCCCGTAAGCCTTTCCTCGGCCGCGGGCTTCGCGGATCTTGAGGCGCCGCCTGGGACCTCGCTCTACTTCGCGGGGGTCGACGTGCAGCGCGCCTTCTACCAGCGCAAGCTGCCCGCCTACCTGCGCCCGCTCTTCTGCCTGCCCGCGGTGGCCGCCGGCGAGCTGGGGATCAGCGAGCTTGGCGGCCGCCACGTGGCGCCGTGGACGCGGCTGCATCCGCAGTTGGCCGCGGCGCCCGTGGGCTGGAGCTGGGCGCTCTACTTTGCGCAGCGGGCCCGCGAGCGCGCGCTGGACCAGCGCCCTGCCCTGAGGCCTGAGCTGCGCGCCGTGGACTTCGAGCCGCCCCCCTCGCCGCTCTCCGAGCCCGCCCGCCCCCTCCACGTCGACGACGCGCTGGTGGCGGGGGCGGGCCGCGTGGAGGTCACGCGCGAGGCGGCTCGCATCCGAGACGCTAGAAGCTGCTGGTCTGGCCGTGCACGACGAGTCCGACGCCGCGGAGGCCATGATGATGCTGGGCGGGCAGCTGGAGGGCCGCCCTGCGCGGGCGACCCTGGCGCCGCGCCGCTTCTGGAAGCTGCGCCTCGGGATCGGCTTCTTGTTGCAGCGGCGGCCACGGGCCACTAGTCGCGACGTCGAGCACCTCCTGGGCCACTGCGCCTTCGCGGCGCTCTGCAGGCGGGAGAGCCTCAGCTGCTTCAGCGCCATATATGGCTTCGTGCGGCAGGGGCATCAGCGCGCGCGGCAGCTGTGGGCCTCCGCGCGGAAGGAGCTCAGGATCTCCCGCGGCATCCTGATCACGCTGGAGGCGCGCCTGGATGCACCGCGGTTGCCGCAGGTGGTGGTGACCGACGCCTGCGAGACTGGCCACGCGTCCGCGTCCGCCGCCTGGGGCGTCGCCCATGTCGCTGCGGCGGGCCGCTGGCACGAGCGGTGGCGATTCCGCCACGCCCGCGAGGATGACGGGACCTGGCGCCCGCGCGACCGCGCTGCCCGCGCGGCCGAGGCTGCGCTCCTAGAGGCCGACCCGTCGCATGCAGTCCTGAGGGGTGAGTCATCAAAAAGCTGTCCCGAAGTGTCGGCGCACTACCTCCGCCGCTCCAAGTGGAAGCTGATGCACTACGTCCCGGTGTTTAGAAAGGAGCATCTGCACCGTAAAGAAGCAGGAGGATATCTACACGCCGTCGAGCTTATCCTGTCGGACGCGGATTCCCGGGGGAAGACGCATGTGGTCTTGGTGGGCAATCTTGCGCTCACGCTTGCACTCTCGAAAGTGATGCCGTGACATTTACCTGCTCAATGTACTTCGCCGATGGGGCCGCCCTTGCCCTTGCCACGGGGGCCCGCGCCCATCGCCGATGGGTGCCGAGCCGATGGCGCCAGCCGAGCCCGTGAGCGTGCTGACAGCGCCAGTGGTGACCGACCAGGCTGGCGAGAGCTTGCCGCGGAGGGCCGACAGTTGCGCCCGCGCCGTGAGACTGCCTGGCGCTCGGCGGCGGGCGTGGGCCCCCCTGGCTTCAGAGGGGCTGCTGCCGAGACGGCCCACGCGGGCACCGCGACTGGCTGCGCCACTGGACCAGGCTGCAGCGTCGCGTGTGCCGCCCGCCACAGCTGCGGGGCGAGCCGAGACTCTGGGCGCGCGCCCCGAGTCTCTGGCCCCCCGAGCCCGCATGGCTCGTGCTGTGGGGCCTTTCGCGCAGCGGCTGGAGGCGCGACCGTTCTTGCCGAGCTTGTCGCCGCGAGCATCCGCCACGGCCCCGTTGCAGGAACTGCTGAACAGTGGGGGGCAGGCGCAGGACATCACTCGCCAGCTCTCTATCACCGAGGCGGCCGCTTTGGGGAGGCGGAGCCGCCGCCAATATCGCAATCTGCTGGAGGAGTTCTCGATGGCCAGCGAGCTGCCGACACTGGGCGCGGCTGCGCCCCTGCTGGTTGTCGCCGCGGTGAGGTTCTCCGACGCGCTCTACCCGGCAGGCAAGGTGGCGTCGCGTCCACGGGCGAGAAGCTGATCTACGCAATCGCCATGCGCGTGCCCGGCTACCAATCCAAGCGCCGCCTAGCCATGCCCCGCGCTCACCGCGCGCTGCGAGCCTGGCGGATGCTACGGCCGACGCGGGCGCGCCGCCCGCTGCCGTGGGCCGCCTGCATGGGGATCGCTCAGCGCCTGTGCCGAATCAGCGGCAAGAAGAAGATGACTCTCTACTGGCTTTTGATGGTGGACACATACCTTCGACCTGGGGAGGCCCCCCGCTCGACGAAAGGCCAAATGCTGCCGTCGCAGGCCAAGATGCCCAAGGTTGCGATCCACATCAACTCCGACTACTTGAAGAGGCCGGTTCAGGCGGCCTTCTCGCGAATGACAACGGCAGCGCGGGCCTACGGCCTGCGCGCGGAGGTCGAGCTGCACGTGCAGCGCAACAACGTCTGAATGAGAGGCTTCGCTTGCTCCCGTCCCGAGCCAAATCTGGACAGTTCTTTTTCATCGAAATCTTTTCAGGTTCTGAGCACTTCTCGAACACCTTGAGAAAGCGTGTTTTTGTTTGTGCGTTTTCTTTCGATGTGTTACAGGGCCAAAGGGGTGGCCTCCTTCGGCCCGCTGTCTCGAACCGTATCATTCGCATGATTAGGAGTGACAAATGTCTCGGGCTTCTCGCGGGCGTTCCGTGCAAGAGTTTCTCGATTGCGCGGGGTGGCCGCAACGCCATCCGCAGCAGTGAGCACCCCCTCGGCCCCCCCCCCCCGCCTCCTCTCCAAGTCGTGGTAGACGAGGGCAATAGAACACTACAGGTGTCTATCAAGATTTTCAAAGCTTGTCAGCAGGTGCGTGTTCCTTTTTTTATGGGGGAACCCTCAGTCATCCTACATGTGGAAAGTTGACTCCGCACGGCGTATATTGCGTTGGCCTGGTCTCCAATACGTGATTACTCATTACTGCGGCTGGGGTGGGCCCTGGTGTAAACCAACCAGGTTTCGCGTTTTCTTGCTTCCTCGGGCCTGCGATCTTTCAAAACGTTGTCAACCTATCCGCGGGCTTTGCACGTTCTCCGGGAGGAAACGCCAGATCCTCCAGGGCCGCGATGGCCTCGGTGTCCATTGGACCGATCGGGCCGCCGCGTACCCCAAACCCTTGTGTAATGCGATGGCCGACGTGTTCCTTGACGCCGCTTTTGATCGCGTCCTTAAGCATAATATTCGCTCTTTCCCCTTCCGCCCCTCCCCCCCCGCCCCTTTCGTCTTAACACCACTGTGCCGTGCTCCAGAGAACCGAGTGCGATCTTTGGATGCTTCGAAGTTTGGCAATGAGATTGGTTTCGGCTGTCCGTTCGCTGCTGCCGCCCTTGTCGCCGCCGCTCTCGTTTGGGTCCCACATGCGGATGACAGATATCACTGCTCTGAAAATTAAGGACGGGTGGGGAACCTCCGACTTGTCCTGCGAACGTGTAGGGGGTGCAACACAGAGTCCGTTCTATTTCGCTCAAGCCTCCCGCCCTGTCTCGTTTCTCGACTTCCCGCCCTTGTTCACGGCGGGCCGCTAGCACTGACTTGAGCGGCAATGAGATTGGTTTCAGCTGTCCGTTCGCTGCTGCCGCCCTTGTCGCCGCCGCTCTCGTTTGGGTCCCACATGCGGATGACAGATATCACTGCTCTGAAAATTAAGGACGGGTGGGGAACCTCCGACTTGTCCTGCGAACGTGTAGGGGGTGCAACACAGAGTCCGTTCTATTTCGCTCAAGCCTCCCGCCCTGTCTCGTTTCTCGACTTCCCGCCCTTGTTCACGGCGGGCCGCTAGCACTGACTTGAGCGGCAATGAGATTGGTTTCAGCTGTCCGTTCGCTGCTGCCGCCCTTGTCGCCGCCGCTCTCGTTTGGGTCCCACATGCGGATGACAGATATCACTGCTCTGAAAATTAAGGACGGGTGGGGAACTTCCTGATGATGATGATGATGATGAGGATGAAAATGATGAAGAGGAGGAGGAGGAGGAGGAGGCGGAAGAGGAGGAGGAGGAGGAGGAGGAGGACGAGAGCTTCTAGCGGGTCCTGGGGCTCTACGGGGTCCGGGGGGTAGAGAGAGGGAGAGGGGAATGCTCCCGCAGGGGCTCGACGCGTTTTTCCCGCCTGGGCCAGAAATCGGTTCTTCTCCAGGGTGGCTCGAGAGCGCGAAGACACCGCGTTTCGCGCGGCGCGAAGCGTGATCTCAGAAGACTTTGGG